GAGGCAGGAGAGGTCTGCCGCTCCATGTGGGTTTCTCCCTGGCCGGGCCAGGAACCGAACCCACACTGCAGAGGCCATGGACAGCCTCATAGAGTGGCACACTCAATCTGCTGCACCACAGGGGAGGCCCTATTCAATATTTTTAAATATCCATTTATTATCTGTAATATAATTCAATTTTTCTTCAAAAAAGAAAAATATTCACATATCACTTATACAACTAAAACTAAACAGCAAGTTCTTAAAGCTATCCTTTCAGATCTTCTTAAATTTGAAAGATGAGTCTTCCAACTCCAGTTCAAATTTCATTTCTACAAAATATTATGGTCCTGTTTAATCAGCAATTGGGCAACAAAATCTGTAATTGAGAGAACTAAATTTCCAGTAGCTCAAAATGAAAAAACCAACAACAAAAAACCAACAACCCAATCTATGAGTTTATGACAAAAGAAAATACGTTAAACTAAACTACATCAATGTAAAAATTTGTAAGTGAAAACATCATCTTTCAACTTTAAATTAAGGGTAAGCACACAGTATATTTGCTTTAATAATAATTCATATGCGTAAAAGAAAAAATTATCTTTTAATAATAAACTTGTTTAAGAAAAAAATATTCTTACACCAAGTTATAGCTTTCTAATACCACTCCACAGAGACTTTTTACTTGAAGTAAGATTAATTTTTACATTAAAAATAAACAAAGACAAAATAAAAGCTACTTTTGGAAAACATAATTTAGAACCTTAACTAAAAGCCTTTTCAAGAGACATTATGTGAAGACTATAATGTTTATTGTAAACAAAGTGAAAAATACAAAACATTTTCTTAAAATGATATAAAGGTCAAAGTTACACATTCCTCTCAAGAGTCACTAATAATTACCAATAGCCTCTATCCAGTCCTTACCCTTTTTCTCTCTGGGTGTTGACATTAGACCTGCCTTCTGCCATATTAATCTCCCCTATCTCTCTTCTTATCTTCCTGATAAGTCTAATCAATCTGAAGCCTCCCAGAAACCTCATTTTCCCCAGCAATCCTCTTTATCTGCTCCAGGGCAATTTCCTACATTCAGCAGAAGCTTCAAGTATTACTTAATGTTAATGGCTCTCAAATTCACATCTCCAACTTTTTTTTCTTTAAGCTTCAGATCTGTATTTCCAACAGTCAACCAATGTGTCCATCAAGATGTTCCCCAGGTAATACAAGCAGTAATACAAGTTTGACTTGTTTGAAACCAAAGTCATCTTCTCTCCTTCCCATCCCCTACTTAAAATGCTCCTGCTATGTTTTTCCTGCAAATGACAGCCATAGAAACAAGATCATTTTTTAAAAAAATATATTTATTTATCTATATTTTACATCATTTTGTTCATTTTTGTACAATTTTTGCTTTCTCCTCTCAGGTGTAGTCCCTGAAGAATTCCCACCATTAATTCACCCATGCACCATCACCACAGTCCCTTGTGCTCTCCCTCTCCTGTTCTGATGCCTCTCCTCCCCCTCCCCTGCATAATGTCTCTAATATACAGATGCCTGTTAATTTTATTTTTTTTTCCTGATCCCTTATTAGGTTCCCCTATATTCCTTCTGTAAGAGAAACCATCCAATATGGTTTCTTTTTCCTTCTGATTTATTTCACTGAGCATAATCCCTTCCAGCTCCATCCAAGTTGCTGTGAATGGCATGGGTTTATCTTTTTTTGACTGCTAAATAGTATTCCACTGTGTATATATACACATCACATTTTGATCCAGTCATCTATTTTTGGGCATTTGGGTTGAGAAATAAGACCATTTTTAACCCTTTCCTTACTCACTTTCCCTTTATCCCCTTAGTCCCTAAATCCTAGTTGAAGATACTCATAAAGTGCATTCCCTCATCTACACTTCATTGGTATTGTCCTATTTATCTCATCTGATAACAGCCTCTTATTGGTCTTCCTGCCTTTAATCTCTCTCTAGTCTAGACCATAAACTATAGGTTACATATTTAAAGCATACATGTATCAATACTTTAAAATGTATACATATTAAGTTATATATAATGATAGTTACATATAATTATATATACACTTTAAATATGTACTGAGTCTGTATTTTTGAAGTTACAGCTGCAGATCACAGGAAATTGTTAAACTATAAAAATACATACACATATATAGTTATATATAACTTTTAAAAGGTTCCTCATTCTTAAAAGACTCAATATTACTATCTACAGGATAAAGTCCAAATTCCTCAGCACAGTTTCTAGGGTACATCACAACCTGACCCTAACTTTATTCCCAGCTTCACCTTCTAGCACCATCCTCCAAAGTAATCTATACACATACTCCAGCAGATAAACCACAAACATGATTCACTTTTTCTCCTTGGCTTCTGCCAATTGCTATCATTTTGAAACTTCCTTTTGCTATCTTGATAGTCCCTGTTAATCCTCCACTAAACAAAATGATCTCTTCTCCCTCCTATGCTCCCACGTACTCTATCCATACCTCTGGCATAGACCCTATAATATTATGTTAGCAGTGGAGTACAAGTCTGTTTCCTGAAAGGCTTTGGGTAGTCTGAGTCTTAATATTACAATACTCTGTCACACATAAATGTTTGTAAATGCTTGTTTAATTGAATTGAGGATCCACAATTAAGGGTTTGCTAGAAAGAGAAAAGCCTGCATATAAATTAAGAAGTTTGAAGAAGAAACACAAATAGGAAATATAATGTCACTAAACTGTCTTTTCCTTGGCTTTTGACAAGTTGAATAAACAATTAAGAGAGTCAAATGACACAGATGAGGACTGAATACTAAGAAAATACCTTTTGTGACAGTGAAAAAGTACTTGTGTATGTAGCTGACAAAAATTAACACAATTAACAAATAAGGATGCATATGAATAAAAGAACTCCAAATAAGCAAAAGAATGAAAAACTGATTCACAGAAGAAAAATTGAAAACACTAATAAACATGAAAAATTTCTGAAATTCACTGATTATCAGAATATATTGATCATACGATCCAGCAACCCTTCTTGTAAGTATCTAATTCAAGAATACAGAAACACTAATTTGAAGGAATATATGAACCCCTATTTAGCACTATTTACGATAGCCAAGCTATGGAAATAACCTTCATGCCCAATAGCAGATGAGTGGATAAAGAAGATGTGGCATATATACACAATGGAATACCACTTAGCTACCAAAAAAGATGAAATCTTGCCATTTGAGACAACGTGGGTAGACAGAACTGGAAGGGATTATGCTTAGTAAAATAAGTCAGAAGGAAAAAGACAAATACCAGATGGTTTTACTTGCATGTGAAATACAAAAAACACAAAGGAACCGACAAAACCAAGTCAAAAAAAATCAGAAAAAAACTGACTGTAGAACTGAAGCTTTTAGAAGCAGAAGATGCAGGTTGGGAACAAAAGGAGAATGGTGCTCAGCGGATTATGGTGAAAGATTTTTGGTAGTGGATGTGCTGTAAGTTATATTTGGAGAGGTATAAACTTACAACCCTAAAACATATAGTGCTATAAATTAATATTACCTCGATAAAAATTAATAAAAAGAAAAGCTACAAAATAAAATATTTTTCACCTAGCGAAATGTAAACAGTATAATATTTCTGGGGGCTAATGTAAAAATGTATAAATAAGAAATGTATATATATATATATATTTTTCAATACTCTGACTCAGTATTTTTATTTCTAGGAATTTACCCTAATAAAATGACATGCAAAAATTTATGCAAATACAGATTTATAGCAATACCATTTAAAGTATCAAAAATCTGAAAAACTGTTTAATAAAGTAGTTAAAATAATACAGTTTCTATAAAGGATATTATATAATAGGTTTTTTTGAAAAATAATGACATGGGGAAAGCATCATTATATGCTATTAACTGAAAAAGGTAAAAAACTGAATAGCACAATATAATAATATAAAAGCATGGAATAAGGAATAGGAAGGAATATACAAACTATAAACTGCAGCTATTCCTGTGCAGTTACTACCAATCACTAACGACATATAACAGAAGAAATTTTTCAATTGAAGAATGTAATGTCTCCAAAAGGTTACTTATTTGCTCTAAAATGATTTTGGTAAACCTCAAAGGTCTGTTAGAAAAATGCAGAAGTCATGTTATAGAGATTTTAAAAAAATAAGTGGTAAGCAGAAGAAAGAGATAGGCTATTTGTTAAAGAGCAAAGGAGAAAAGAATTAGATAGAGGACAAAGTCAAAGCTTAGTTATATATACTGTATGAGACAAGCATATTTCAACTCAGAAGAGATGGAGATGATGAAATTTAGGACAGTGAAAGAGGAAAAAAGATACATGTAAATTTACAGATCTCAACCTGTGTCAAAATAGAAAGACAATGGTGCAATGTCCAAGAAAATGACACATCTATGGCCAGCTGACATTGTTTTAGTCCATGTCCATAGATCATACCCCAGTCTCAGATAGTTATTTAAGAAATAGTGTTACTGGTCACCAATACAACCAGAGAGAAAACATATGACTAAATTAAGTGAATTATTACTTCTATTAAAGAAAATTTTTAAAAAGATGTTCTTTGGGGAAGATCAATAGTGTGACCTTTTTATAAAATATTCTTTTAACCACTCAACAAATACTTACATTTACTAACTGTAAGGCACTCTGTGATAGTCTCTGCCCTCATAAATATCATATTCAACTGGAGAATATAGATATTAAACAAAGAACTGATGAACAAGCATAATGAGTACTACAGCAAGTACTAATCAGGTACTACTGAAACATACAATGCCATGAACTAGGACCAGTCATGACACTTCCCTGAGGTAAGCACACAAATAAAAATCAGATCCAAAAATGAACATGAACTCTAGAGAAAAGAAGTGCTGAACATGTATTACTCTGTTGTCTTCAACTTTTATACTTAAGAGAAAGAATGAATACAAGAACTGGCATTGTGATTAAAGATAATTATGATAATACATACCTATACGAAGGTCTCTTTGTAAAACATTCTTATCATAAACATAGAAAGACAAATACTGGAAAGCTCTTGGAATCTCAAAGTAAAATTCTTCACTGAAAAATGGGCTGGAGAAAAAAGGGGGAAAATGCATTAAATTTGGATTCAATAGTGTTCTCAAATGATTATCATTTTAATAAAACAAAGGCTAAAACACCATAGAGAATAGCTTCAAAGGCTCCAAAATACCCTCCTATGCTGTTTCAGTGAAACACTATGCAAACCAAGCCGAACTCTGAGAGGATCTCAAGTGCTAGGCTGAGTTCTGACCAAATAGTTTCTCAGGAGTCTATGGACTGAAGACCCATTAATTGTCTGGGGTCATGCTTGCCTAAGGTGAACACAAATGAAAGCTGAGGACAGTGCAATTCACACCACGAGTGTGTCAGACATAAGTAAAGCTGTATTAATTACCATAATGCCTAAAATAGGCATTGCTACATAAAATCCTACTTTAAAAGTATATATATAAATTAACATTTTTAATCAACTTTACTGAAGTATAAATTACATATATTGAAATCCAATTTAAAGTAGAGAGATTAATGACTTTTGATAGTTATATACCTCTGTAGTCTTCAATCCAATCAACTCACAGTAACTTTTCTTTTTCCCCATGAAGTTCCCTTTTGTTCCTCCAGTTATCCCATCACACTGCCATAGCCAAACAATGATCTGATTTCTGTCACTATAGATCTGTTCTAGAATTTCATATAAATGGAATCAAATAGCACATATTCTTGCATCCAGCTTTTTCACTCAGCTTAATGTCTAAGATTTTTTTCATTGTGCTGTGTAAATCAGTAGTCTATTTGCTATAATTTTTGCTTAATATTCCATAGTATGCTCCACGATCCATTCTCATTGTGATACCATTTGAGTTGTTTCTAGTTTAGGCTATTAAAAATAGAGTTACTATGAATATTGTTTTATCCAAGGCGTTTTTCTGGATATAAACGTTCAATTTTGTGAGATTATCTAAACATAAATTTTCAATTTATAAGAAATGGTCACACTGGTTACACTCACAAGATCTTGCATGACTTTATGTAAACTTCAACAATCTCAATGCCCTTCTAGGTGAAACCTAAAGCTTTTTGGTCTATCCTCATATAAACACCTGAGTATTCATGAAATATTAGTACTTTTAGACTTAGAATGTATCTAAATTTGAAATTTCTCAAAGCATTTTTGGCATACTAATTTTTGAAAATGTGTTTTCAATAGCTTTAAACAAAAGTGCCCTGTTTACATTTACGTATTTACGTCCATTCTCCACTGCCCTCTCGTTACAATCAGCAGTCATCCTCTCCCTTTACTGACTTTAGTGAACTCAGGCCATTTCAGCAGCTTTGTAGATGTAATCTCCTTTAACATTCATTACAGCTCTTGGGGAAATACTAAGTGGTAGTGCAGAGACTCAGGAACAGTTGGGGTTATTTCAGAGGCAGAGTTTGAAGGCAAGAGGGCAAGTTTTAAGGACTCTTGATTCCAGGTGTTGTTATTCTGTTAAGCCTGGACAGTTTAACTTCCCTTCAGACATCAACAGGATTGCACCATTTTTTTATTCTTATCACAATATATGAGAGCTTCAGTTGCTGCACATCACTGTCAACTTAGGCTATTAACAGTTTTTTAAAAATTAGTTGATGAATAAATTAGACACCTCTGTAATCACTATCCCAATCAAGATATAGTGTATTTCTGTCTCTTCACAAAATCCCCTTGTGCCATCACCCCCTGCATACTGTCAGAGGAAGCAGTGATCTGCTTTCTGTAATGATACATTATGTTCAAGAATCCATAGGAACAGAAATGGTTTTAAATTTTTATTTTCCAAGATGATCATTAACACTGAATATGTTTTCATGTGCTTCTTGATCATTCCTAATCTTCTTTCATGAAATATCAGTTTGGGTCTTTTCCACATATCTTAAATGAGTTGTGTCATTTTAGTTTTCTTTTTTTTTTTTAATTAATTCTTGATACAAGTTCCTTATCTCAGTAATTTCTCCCAACTATGGCTTGCCATTTCATTTTCTTGACAGAATCTGAAGAGCAGACAAATTTAATTTTGGTGAACTCCAGTTTATCAACACTAATCCTCTTTTATGACTAGTGCTTTCTGCATTGCATTTGATTTTCTCTGAAGAAACATCTTCTAAGTTCACTTTAAGAACTTAACTTGGTATTTAAATAAATTTAAGTTTTGATATTTAAATAAGACAAAGACATGAATCTCTGAAATGCTAGTGAAGATATTTTTGTTTTTCCTGAGAATGTTTAAAGGACAAAAGATACTTTTTAAATGCCACAATATGCCTACTGGACAATGGTGGAGGATTATGGGTGCCATGGTATAGTGGGTGTGGTGTGGTAATATATATCTGAAGGGGTGTGATCCTATACATCTGAATCATGTACAATGTTGTAAACCAATATTACTGCAATAAAAAATAATAATAAAATAAAATGCACCATAAAATGCAATCTCTTCAGGATATCAAAACTAAAAGAGAAGCTAAAATGCACAGTGAAATACTCTTAAAAATGTCATTTCTGACCTTGCTCAGAAAATAGCTGACTCAACTTTTAGTTGCTTTTTAGTTGTTGTAACACCTGGTCAACTTCTGTCAATATATTTTTCACTTCAAATGTAACCAAAATTAACTTTTGAAGTTGGTCTGGCAAAATAGTCTTCCAATTATTTTCAACTAATAAAAAAGTAACTAGTAGGCAAAGACATAGCATGTTTTATTTTCCTTTGCATCACTTTATAAACAATTACAAAATGGAGAATTTCCTTTATATATCACATATCCACATTCAAATATTATTTTTAAAATACATTCTAAAGCCAGTAAGAATATGAGAATTATTCCTTAAGTCCTTGGTATCACTGTGTCATCATAATCTAAACATCCTAAATCCCCATCTTTATACTGCAAGTTAATTATCAGCTAATCCATTTGAAGAAAAATTTTCAACAAGGTCAGGAAAGAGTAATGACTAGATTAATACAATTTTTAAAACAACACTCCATTGTTACCACTGACTTATGATTCTGCATATGACTCCTGAGGAAATTCCTGGTGTGGGAAAGAAAAGAACCAGGAAGATGCAGTGTTGTAGTTATTCAATTTGCTTATATACTTCCTAGAAACATTTGTAATCAAGACTTAAGAATTATTGCTTCCATATGAGATTCCTATTTACCTACTATGAAAACTATATCCAGACAACCTATAAAAACTATAATGCCCAGAATACGTAAAGATCTCAATACCTACTGACTTTTTCGTAACAGTTTATCAAAATATACACAAGGGTAGAAAACACTGAAATAAAAGCAAGGTGTGGGAAGGGTTTATACTATGAATTTTTCTTCCATTCCACAAGGAAAAATACTAGAGTTCACACAGAATCCAAGAAGCACCTAGTCTAAGTATACCGAAATTAGCCAAGGTGACCACTGCAAGTCTTAAAGTATCTTCCAAGTTCTATGCATCTAGATAAATAATTTAAGGAAAAGAAAACTGGTTTCATCATTTTCCCCAATACAAATATATGGAAAGCCAAAGATTTTTTTTTTTAAAGTAGGCTAGTTTGAGTTACTTATTTACAAGACTACATATTAGAAACAGTAAGTATTCAATTTCTGAACAATTAGAGTTCATTTTTCATATCACTGATTATGTTATATGGAATCTGTGTACATTAAGTAACAAATTGAGATTTACATAGTTTCAGGTCCCTAATCTCAGTTTTGCTTCTAACTTCCCTTTATTAGATGCACAGATTATTCAGTCTCTTGGTGATTCAGTTTCATCATTTATAACATATAAATAATAGCAGAAATCTAATACAAGGACAAGGTGATTTATGACTCAAGCTGTAAAGTGCCTTTTTCCAAATCTTTTTGGGTTTTTAAAGAATTTTCAGTTTTTTACAATGCCTTTTTCTATGAAGAACTCAAAAGACATTCAAAATAATAAATACTGAAAATGAAGACATAAAGGTGAAAATTTCAGAGAAAAAAAGACAAGTATAAAGGAAAAAAATCTGAAAAAGAACATTAAATAACCAGACACCTGACATACAATTCATCCACCACATGCTCATTCTAAGAACTCTCATGCCCTTGCTCGTATCTCTGAACATCCTTCCAGTACAGTTCTAGACTGGAATTATGTCCACAAACAACATTACAGGGCAGAGGTGGCACATTCCAACTTTATGAACTAGAATTTACATGATACTCTCAAATTGCTATGACACTGTCAAAAAGATGAAAAATCTAGCTAAAATAAAAGTTCATTCCTTTACAATGCACTACTCAGTTAATGACTTACAAACTTTAAGAAGCAATTTATTCTCCAAGAAATAATTATGCCCTTCAATTTAAACTGTTGAAATAAATGGACAAAACTTATTCTAGAGAACAACTGAAGATATGTGACAGGTGTTTTCAAAAACTTGAATGTCATGTGAAAAATGGATTAAACTTGTTCTCCAGAAATCCAAGGGATGGGTTTAGGAACTACTAAGAGGAAAACACCGTTTGAGGCAATGAAGAATCACCAGAAAGCAAGCATTATGCTTCTCTTATTCTCATGTATGTGTGAATAAATAGTACCCAGCAAGTTCTTGGCATGAAGTAAATTCTCATTTTGATAGACTCTAATCAACTACATGTAATAGATTTCTAAGAGTCAGAATAGTTACAAGACTGAATAGGCTGCTTAGGAAACAATGAACTCCTTTCTTGGTCACTGGAATATTATTAAGTAATTGCCGGAAGACAATTTGTCAAAGATAACTGTCAGAAGGAACCAAGCTTAAGGCACTTAGTCCAATTCAATAAATATGAGGGCTCATTCAGACTCTGAGATTCTGTAATTTTAAAGATAAATTTAAAATGTAAAAGAAAAGCAATTATTGCACATAACAGTCTTCTTGATTACACTCTAGAAAAGGTATAAGATTTATTAATCAATATATATCATATGGATGACAATTTATCAATATTTTTCACAAACCTTAAAGATTTTTCAACAACTTGGGTACGATAAACTTCTTCCTGGTCCAAATTTATGGTGCAGAAACAATCTCTCATTTTGTTGGGTCCAAGATACGGCAATAAGTTTTTTGCTTCACCTATTGGCATAAAAGTTGAAGTCAGAGTTGAGTATCACCAGTTGCTTCATGCTAAGTCATATATATATATAGGATGAATTCAATTTTTAAAAAAGGTAAGTACATAAACACACAGGGGGAAAAAAGGTGAATCAACTTGATTTAAAGGAGAGACTAAAAGGAGGAGCTATATGTAAAGGATGGTATGTGAGGTGATACTATATCACTGTATCCCTGTTCCTTCTTAAAAAGAGCAATTCCTCCACTCATATTCTCCATCCCTTCCTATTAGTGCGACCTCAAGGACCTGACTCCACAATTAATTCCTCCTTCCTATACCATCATTAAATTTTTTCTCCAGTGGATCATTTCCATAAACACATAAATATGCTTTGGCATTTCCAATTTTAGAAAACTGCACAAAGAAAAAAACCTCCCTTGACTTCACCAATTTGATATTACTCCATTTCTAGATTTCCTTTCACAGTAAAACTTCTCAAAAGCATCATCTGTTTGCCTCTAATTTCTCACCTTCCATTCATGCTTCAATTTTTCCAATTAGTTTCTAACTCCATGAAGCTGCTCTAGCCAGCTTCTAGATTGCCAGATTCTTTACCCTATCCTCATCATACCTGACATAGGGGAACTATTTAACATAAGTAAATATTCACTCAGCTCCTTAAACTGCCGTCTTCACTTCCTCAACACATTTCTGGCTTTCCTCCACATCAGTGACCCACTGCTGCCTTCTCTCTCACTAGATCTCTAAATGTTGAGATGCTTCAGGGCTCGTTGCTGGACTTTCTCTTCTTTCACTATGCAAACTCCTATAGTATATCATGCTAATACTGACAGCACTCAGATCTGCATTTCCCAGTCTGATCTCCCTCCTCAACACTAGATGTGAATTATTCAATTACTTCCTTGGATACCCAGCAGGCATCTCAAATTTTAACAAGTCCCAGACAAACCATCTGATTTCTTTCTTTAAAACATGCTTTCCCCCCAAGTCTGTCACTGCCTTTTCCTCATTTTTCACTGTTCTTCCACTAACCCCATCCCTAGATCCAATCTATCAATAAACCTAGCAGACTTCTACAATAAATACCCAATCCAATCACTCCTCCTCACCTTCACTGGTATCCCCCTACAATCTAGTGTCCCATCAAGCAGTGTGATCTTTTAAGCATATTAATCAGGTCACTTACTCCCCTCCTTTCTCCACAACTCCATTTTACTTAGAATAAAATACGGTCTACAAAGTCCTATTAAACTGTATTCTCCACTCTGACTTCAGTTTCTCTCATTCTCCTGTGTTCAACCTCTTTCCATTCGTCAATCAAATCACCATTGTTCAAGTTTGGGACCTCTGGATGCATCTAACCCTGCATCTTCACAAAGCTGGCTTTCTCTTAACATTCAGGTCTCAACTCAAATGTCACTTCTTCAGAGAAACCTTCAACTTATCTATCAAAAGTAGATGATCTGGTTACCCTCTTCTATTTGTTTGTTTTCTTCTTAGCAAGTGTAACTACCTGAAACTATTAATTTTTACTTAAGTGTTTATTTTCCAGTTTTCCTACTCTTGAAGCATGAAAACTTACTCCCCAAGACCTAAAATAATGACTGTTATACAGTAGACACTTGAGAAATATTTGTTGAATGAATATTGAAGCTGTAAATCTAGTGTTGAAATTCCTGTGAGATACTCAGGGGCCAAAAGAACACACAAGTGTGTGGACTAAAATGAGACACCAATGTACTAAATTAGGAAAGCAAGATAGTTAGCATGAGGGAAAAAGCATTGTCTTAAGACTCATAAAACCAAGGTTCCTATCTTAGCTTTGCTTCTAAGTCACTTCAGACAAATCACAGAAGGGTAGCTTTTCTGATGAAAGTTTGGGCTGGATAAACTCAAGTCTCTTATCAACTTAAAAACACTAAAGGTCATTTAAACCAATATGTTTTAAACAAGTCTTTCAAAAACCTAAGAAACACCTATGAAAAACAATAAACAAATTATTTTTTAATTAAAATAAGAAAACCAATGAAAAAGCACCAGTAAGATACTCATTTTAGGTTTGTCATTAAGAGATTAGAAAAAAATTTAATACTTGAACAAACTAAGCACAACTTAAGCTCATCTCAAGTCAGAATCAAGGAATCCAGCCTTTTAAATGACACCAAAATTGCCTAACAGGAGTTGACCTTTGAAATGAACCAGTTTATTAACTGGAAAAATATTTGATTTTGTATCCATCCTTTCTCCTCTTCTTCAAAAGATTACATCTCCCTCTTCTTATCCAAAGCTCATCTTAACTCATCAATCTACCCATGCTCTCTCTATTCCATTTCCTCCTCCTTACTCCTACCAGGGTACTCCCCATCTATTCTACATTCAAGCTTCTCCCTTAGTCTCTCCTTTGACATCTCCCCTCTGTATAATCCAGGTGTTTGGTTTTTTGGTTTTTTTTTTTTTTTTTTGGTAACCCCAAATCCAATGAGGTCACCATATAGGGCCTGAAATATAAACAACATTGGAATTATCATAATAAACACATTCCATATCAGTGGGGGAATTTGCAACACTAAATCACTGCCCTTGAATATTTGCTGTTTCAGTTACATAAAAGCAGTTTGAGAAAACTACACTGTCTGAATGTACACATATTCCAACCTCTTCAAATGGATACAATGGGGCTTATTTTCTCTGCAGAATCCAATAAGTTTTACTTTTTTTTTTAAGATTTATTTATTTATGTACACAAGAACTGGGGTACAGGCCAGAGGTGGAGGGGTGAGAGGATTCACCAGAGACAGAGTGGGGAAGAGAACAGGCAGATCGACCAAAATACACTGCTGAGGGGAGCAGCGGGCGAGTGAGGAGAGGTTTACTGTGCCACGTGGGTAGCTCCCTGGCCAGCCAGGGATCAAACTCGTGCTGCAGTGGCTATGGATAGCTTCATAGGTTGCATCTTAACCCCCCACGCCACCAGGGAGACCCTAGTTTTACATTATTAGAGAGTTACTTGGGCTAAATAAAACTTAAGTTCTGTGTAATATATAAAACGTATTCAACATCACTTCTTATTAAAAAAAAAAAGCAGTTACTACAATCTACATGTACTCTTTGAATAGATCTCACTAACATTTAAATAAATTACACTGAAAGTAAATTCCTATAATTTATGACTAGCTCACAAATGTTGATTAAGTCAGTTATCAGTACTTTAAACTGTAACTTCAAACAACAGTAGTACTTAATTGTCATTTTATAAACAACATAAGTCAATGAACTGGAACTTTATAAAAAATTATCAAAGGTAAAGTAGCTAATAGATAACTAATAAAAATAATGTTGCATCTAATATAGCTCTAAGAGGAAAGATTATTTTAGTAGTACATACTTTATTATTAACTTTACAAGAAAAGACAAAAGTGAGGAAGGCTATACTGTCTTGCATGAGGTTATTTGTGTAGAGCCTCACTAGTTCCAGTAAATTATAGTATATAAATAAGCAAAGGCAATTGGTCAAAAAATTCTACTGCCCCTTAAAAACAAACACTAAATTCAACATATAGGTGGAACACCAATATAGGTATTTTCTCAACAACAACAAAAACAAAAAACCACAAATACTTAAAAGTTTTGCAACATTTCTGATAGTGTAATTTACAATTTAGCTACAGTCCATTTGATGATGACTAATTTGTATAGAATCAGGGAATATATCTGTGGGAGATATGGTGCATTAGTGTTCATCATCCATTTCAAGATATATCAGATATATCAGACTGCCCGTACCATATAAACTAGAAGGCTAAAAACTCCATTTCCCAAACTCCATTTCTCTTGCAGTTAGGACTGTGATTATAAAGATCCACAAATCAAATATATTCACTAGAAATTTGGAAGGCATTTAGGTTGCCTTTATTATCAAGCACTATCATGGAAAAGACCAAGTTTTCTGCAGCATTTGCAGTAGTCTTGGTGTCTAGTCACAGATTTCACAGTATCAAGAAGGGCACAGGCATCCATCCATCTGTCATACAGGTTGTGGCAGGTGTGATTTGGCTCTAGGGTCAGGAGCAATGACAATGGCTTACTAAACAAGGCAGCTGCTTGTCTATGGCCATTTCCTAATAGTGGCAAGATTCTTGATTATCGCAGAGCTGGCAAGCTCTAAGTCAAAAAGCTGAAAGTTAGTTTCCCAATTCTACAGGCACCATTCTGATACTAAAAGTGGTAGTAAGTATCTCTCATGGTGGTCCAGCTGCAATGAGGTTTTCAAATGTCACACCTGAAGTCAACCTACAATCTGTTTTTTCAGTCTCTCCAACAATATCATAAGCTTAAGATCATTTATTAAATCTCTTTCTTCTTAAACTAGAGTTGATTCTGTAACCTAATCTTGACTCGTATTATTATTTGTATATTCCCTATTTCTAATAAATTACAAAGTCTAATCTCACATTACTGGTCATCAGAGTTTGGTGTATCTGTCAGCTAGATGTGGCTTTCTGGATGAAACAGACTCAGCAGTTATAAAGCAACTTCTCACTGGAAACTGCTTTTACTGTTCCATCAGATAACCAGTTAAATAGCATAGCCTACTTATTAGAAGGTGAATGTTTCAACTTGGGAAACAGAGGCAAATGCCTCTCTTTTCTCTGTACTGTTGCATGTGCCTTTAGGGAAAACATCTCTTCATTTCTACCTTAGCATTTGGATGTGGTTTTAAAACTATGCTCAATAACATGGTATGATGTTTTAGTGGATTTGGGAGTGCCAACCTCAGCATTTAAAACATGTGCACCATTTGGGGTACCTCTATCTGATCCCTAAATTTACATATATTTTGACCCTGAAGTATTAAAATTAAAGTATTCAAGATATTCAATATACTCCTGAGAAATACACTTGAGCAAGTCAATTTGAAAAATGGAAATGATTTTCTCATTCATTTAAATAGAAAGGAAGAAATGTTTTTGGCTCATTCTTCATTTTAAAAAGTCTGTGC